CTGGTGAGGTTGATGTCCCGTGTGGGGAAACCTGGCTGCTTCTGGGGGAAAAAAGGATCACTCAGGGCCCAGTCTGAGATAGGCAGGTAGGAAGAGATGGTAAAGGAATGGTTCAGGGAATTACCAAGAGAAGGTCATGAGATTTTCCTCTAACAGTCTGAGCTTGCACAGAAGTCACACTGTGTAATTAAAAATAGAGAACAGTGGAAAACTAGTTTTGGCCTTCAAGGCATCACTGACCTAATTATGTTGAACTTTATTTGCTCAGAAACCCTTAAAAAGGGCTCCAGTTTAAGGCAGTTTCCTGATCAGCTGTGGGTTCAGTGCATAACCTCTATAAACCCTGGACTCATCCAAGTTTGAAGAGTCACACAAGAATTCCTAAATCACCCAAGCTTTTAAATACAATTTCCAATTCATCCTCAAGTTACAAGTGTTTCTCTGCTGCCTGAAATGGGAATTTCAAAGCTTCATTGAAGAACATCCTTAAAAAACTTTCCCAGCCCTTGGCCCTTTCAGTATTACTATTTTTAGCTGCCCCATGGCTGTGTTAGCACCTCTCACTGCCATGAAGACACAAGGAGCTGAAGCCCAGGTACTCTTCCAGTCTTGTGCTGTCCTATCTTATCTTCCCCCAAAGAAGAGTCCCTCTTCCACCTCTGAACTCTCTTCAGACTCCAGAGAAAGGCAGAAATACCACATGTGCTAGAAACCTGGATAGCGCAAGTCAATTGGACATCCTACAGCAGGACTGCCCAAGCTTTCTGGGCCAATTAAGCACTCACTACCCTCCATATCTACTGGATGCGTGCCTGCCATCTTACCATGAAAGCTGAAACTCACTACATTGGTAGCATAACTATTATGATATTCAACAACTATGTTAAATGCTACTACTTAATGTAGTCCCAGGTAACAACTGCTGACACTTTCTTCAGCCTCACAGACCCTCTGTAGCTCAAGGATCTATGAACCTCAGTGGTCCATGCTCCCATAAAACATGAGTTTGCCACCTGAAAAAGCCAGTTATTGCAACCAAACTTATTATCCCCAGCCAGAAGAACTGGAAATAGAAAGTGCTGAGCTCCATTACCCTGGAGTTCAGCATATCACACCCTGAAGCCTTGGATGGTTAGAGTAATAGGTTATTTGTTCAAAACCATTCTAAAGCACAAACACCCCTTTGAGGCCATAAATTAGTTTTACCCATGGCAGAGTATCATACTGAAATGAATCTTTAGATGAACCTCATTTTCTGATGATCCTCCTCTTCCTGAGTAGCAAAAGCCTTCCACTGGAAGTGGGCTATGATTTCACTCCTATTGTGAATGACCACAGCTCTGTGGTTTGCCAACATGAGGTAGGTCTTCTCAATAACCAAGGAGTTCTTATCCAGCCTGATGTTAACATCTACAGCAGCTCCATAAAGGCTTGTGTGAATATCTTCACCTGAAACAAAGGAAAGGACAGTCTTTGCTCAGCACATTTGTTGCTGAAAGCACAAGGAACAGAAAAAAGCAACAGAAGAAACGTTTAGAACTTTTTGTGGAATTGCTGATCCAGCTAATCAGAATGTTTATCAAATCCTGATCGATACCCTGTGTACAACAGGAGGATGTCCTGGACAGCACCTTAGTTCTGGATGTACTTCTAGAGATTTATTCCCCAAGGTCAGTATTTACAGTGAGATTTTCAGACGTGTTCAGGTGGTCTTTGGGCTGCAGGGAATTCTGCATCTAACTCATTCAGGTGCTTCTGAGGAGTCCCACCTCAGTCACTGCTTGCCCAGGGTATCTCCTGCAGGCTTTACCACAGCAAAGCTAACCAGTATTGTGTCGCTCCTCCCCAGGACCTTTCTGCTGACAAGCAAAGATGCTGGGAAGGATGTGGCAGGAAAAAGGGGAGTTCAGAGGAACATGTGAAGTGACAACCCAAAGAAAACATGGTGGGACACAGAACAGAACTCCACTACGTTACCAAAACAACGCCATCTCCTCATTTGCTGTGGTTTTGTAGGGATGCACGAAAGTGATGTTACTTGGACAGGGCCCACACCAACCTGCCCATTACAGTCCTGCAAGCCCATTTCTTTGGCTTTCATGCTCTTGCCTATGCCCAAGCATGCAAGTTTACATTGAGTATTCCCAAACTATTCAATGACCAGAGTAAGGTCATGTTTGCTTTCCACCTCCATCCCAACTGTGAGGGGGACAGAGAACCCATGGCTGTGCACATCAGCTGATACATGATTCCAGCCTCGATGGAGTACCTGCCAGCATTTCACCCTGCAAAGACTCCCACCACAGACTGCCCCATTTCCAGAGCTTTCAAAGCTTCATACTCCCCAGTTAAGTAACTCCTGGGGTTCATCTGAGCTCAAACTTCAGTACCAAGCCTATGCATCCTCCACTCTTCCCATTGCATGTTATGGTTTTCCAGGTGAGATGCAAACAGTGAACAATAGACATTCTTTGGGGAAGGTCAGGGCCATTCCGACTCTCTCCAGAAATGGTATTTCTCAGGAGAATTGCCCAAAGCCTCAGAGACAGGCCCAAGCAACAAGTGCAGCAGTCAGGCCATATGCAGCAAAGGGGGATTCTTCTCCGCACCACACAGGTAACAGCAACTAAGCCAGTGGGTGGACTTGAAACAGCTACTGCACAGCAACACACGGAGAGGGTATGAGTGCTGGATGGACTCCTTAAACCCTAAGGCAGCCACAACACAGAAGAATGGCATTGATTCTGGAAAAGAGACCCTCTCCAACAGAACTAGGGAATGAAGTCAGGCTCATCTTCACAGGAGGGGATCTCTGCAGTCATTCATCCTTGCATGTGTGTCATTTGGAGCAGTTTGCCTTCCCAGAGTCACCCTGCCTCCGAGTCACCCTTTGCACTCCGAGGCTCTTCAACAGGCAGTCTAAAAGTTTAGGCTACTAAACAGCTGGACAACTTGACAAGGGGTAGCAAAATGACTACCAAACAAACAAATAGAGATTAAAATAGCTTCTACGTGTTGTGATGCCCTCCTGGAATACAGGCCGAAACTAAGATCAGTCCTACTTTTGCCCTACAGCTCATGCATGTTATCACCCAGGCCTCAGTGAGTGGAGAATTCAGGCTTCATGCTTAAACAGCCCTTACTTTCCCCACTCTCAAGAGTCTGCAATGGTGAGAATTTAGGCTCAGAGATGAGTTTACAGTGCCAGAAAACCAGCAATATTTCCAGTGGCTTAAGAATCTGTTTTCTATAACAAGCAGCTCAGCACATAAAAATATAAGTGACATCCAGAAGAGTCTTAGCGGTGAGCTCAGCGCTTTGGAAGTATTGCACTTTCCCCCCGCCACTGAACACTTAGGGCATGTCGTCAAGTAAAGGAACCCAAGAAATGAGTGAAGAAGGGTATTGAGCTTTGAGGTTCATGGAAACAGGAGCTAGGACTCTGGTCAAAAAGGTAAGCAATATTAGGAACTATTAGCGGTGGTCTCTTTACTTCATAAAATGATGACTACCCAACTGACAATCTGTGGCCACACGTATCCTGAAATAGTGGGTATAGCTCTGACCTGCAGATCTCAAAAAAGTAGAAGAATTTGAAAAGACAGAAGGGCAGAAAGAAAGATTCAAGTACGGAGCAGCTTCTATATGAAAAGAGATTGGCTAGGATTCCTCAACCTAGAAAACATATAGTCAACGGGGAGATAGATGAGAGAAGTCTGTAAAAGCATGAATAGCCTGGAAAATGTGCATAAGGAAAAATTTTTCATCATCTCATCATAAGACAGGAACCGGAGGGGCTAAAATAATGTTATCAGTCAAATTACTTTTTAAAAGGAAGTACTTTCTCAGGCAGCACTCATTCCCTTGGAAAATACTGCCACAGGATGCTGTTGAGGCTAACAGTTATAAATCCAAAGAGCAACTGGACAAGTTCTTGGAAGATAAAGCCATTAAAAGATATTAAACAAAGATGAGAATAAAGCCTCCAGCACAGAAAACTGCTAACTCTTGAATCCATGGGGGATAAAGAATATGCACTGCCTCTTTTTATACGTGTTGCTAAGCATCCCCTACTGCTACTCTGGCAGGCAGGAGCTGGAGACACAGTCGCTCTACAGTCTTAAGCCCGTGCCTGTACAGAGCTCAGACCTAGCTGCAAGCACTGAGGAATCTTCCAAAGGCTGGAAGGTTTGTAGGAGCACCTTCTCTACTACAAACGGAAGGGAAGCATTTGGCATCATGCTGGAGGTATAAATCCACAAATTGCTCAGCACACTATAGTGTGCACAGATGCCAGTAAGTCAGGAGGAAGCCACAGATCTGTCTGCTAGGCAGATGAACTGACACAGAGTCTAGCCATCAGGGTTGGCCAAGGGCAGCTGCATACTTCATGTCTTGGGCACCAAACTAGATGTGACATTTCATTTAAGACTTTTTTTTACTTATATATTAAACAACCAAATCTCAGTACTGTAACAGTGATGTAGTGCTAGGAATTTCACTTGACAGGGTAATGTCCATGGAATGCAGTTTGAGATGCTGTGCTGCCATGAAAGCACATTTACTGAATTTAGACAAATCCGCCCTGTCATTATTTACACCACACAGCCTTATTATAGGCTGTCAATTCTCTCACTCTTAAAGGCTTCTGATACGTTTCCTACAGAGAGCAGAATGCAGCTTGCTCTGCAGCCTGAATGCAGCAATGCCCAAACTTGAAATCAAAAGAGACTTTTCATATAGTGCTCTGGTTTGTGCACTCCTGAAAGACACTCTCTGACACAGCAGAAACACCACTAGTTTTATTCCAACATCTTTCTGCATGACTATGGACACAGATGTCTTAGCGTATCATGACATTTTACTATCTTAAGCAGCGCAGTATTCAGTCATCCTTCCTGGGGCCTATTCTGTAGGAAAACAGACAGAAAAGGAAATAACAGAAATACTAAAATCTTTCAGAATTCTTCTAATACTACAGGAAACAGTCTTTGCAATGCAAGAGGGAATAGTTTTTAGAGCATCACAAGTTATCCTTAAATAGAAAGGTAAATTTTGCTTAACCTGAAAGCATAGCTCAATCAATGGATGAGCAAACCCTTGAACAAGATTTCAAAATGAATTTTGGGTTTAAAGAATACTTTTCTAGTAATTAACAGCTAGTACTTCCCTTCACTGATTACTACTTTAAATATTAGGAGATTGGTAGCCAGATTAGACTGAATAGAAACAAAACAGCACCCTGTTGCATCTCATCTTCACTGATAGGTATTCTTCCCTTGCTCGTATCACTTCTTTTGCTGAGGTTTGTTTTTTAAATCTTTTAGGAGAGGACCATGGGCAAATCTGGAAAGTTTGGGTAGCATGGAAAGCCAGTTACAATTTCATTTGTCCAGCCTGTCAGAAGACTGTCTTACTCATTTCTTCTACAAATGCAGCTGAAGAGACCTAGGTAAGCTAAAGTCCTACTGTTTTTTCCACTAGAAATATAAGAAAGAAATGAAGGCAGAGCTCTTCACTCAAAGAATGTTATTGTACCTCCATATCAATCTGGGTTTGATAATTCTATGGCTTCTGTTACTATCATACCCCAGACCGCCTCACCACTGCCTGTGCATTCTCATTTTTCAATGACCTGCAAAGTAGTGCTCAGTGCAGAACTGAGTCACTTCACTAGTCTAAGTGATCTCTTAGAAGTTACAGAAGTCATCTATGACACAGCAAGAGCTGGATCCAGCCCTCCCCCACCATATGCTTCTCAGTGTGCTTCCCCCAGAACTACCACTAGATCACAGGCAGGAGCATTGCTTTTTGCTGTTTTGCTGTCAGGGAAGTGAACGGCATCATCTACAAGGTGCAAAGGGTCTCTGCCGGCCTGAGAAAAGGCCATCTGTCAGCTCCCATGCTTGTACTTCCAGCACCAGAGCAGAACGCAAAGCGGCAGCAATTCTGCAGGCAGGTCATTAAGTGCTTCTCTGAGCCTGCGTCCATGAACTACCTTCAGACATTGCTAGATCACTGCCTTATTTACTCCAGCCCTCAAGAGCAGCTTGGTTATAGCCTCATCACTAAATAACTGCTGATGAAAAGAGTACTCCTAAGAAATCATTCCTGGGCCAAAACAAAGATCAGAACATCCTTATCAGTACTACTTCTGTATCAATTATTGCTTTAACAGCCAGAAGTCCCAGGCATGGGCCAAGCCTCAGCAAAGCACACACTGAGCCCATACAGCACGTCACAAAAAGGCTCCATCCTAAAGACATGACAAGAACCACGAGATAAAAGACAATAGAAGGGGACAGACAGGGAGACAGGAAGTAGTGGCAAGTCAGCACAGGTCTATGTGACAAGCTGCAGGCTCTTAAGACCGCTCTTTCACACGTTAATAATCATTTCATTTACAAATCATGTAAAATAGACTCCTCAGTGACAATTTTTCTGTAATG